TTATCTTTGATATGGATGGTTATTTATATATCCTAACACACTGTATAGTGTGTGGGGGGTATTATTTTCAAGTCTATGGGTTATATATTCAATTCATTGATGGTAATTTTGAAAAAAACAGCTTTTCATCTTGGAGACAACTAATTTATATTTTTAAGTATTTATTAGTTATTGTTTTTTTGTGGTCTAAGTCTTGCCTGCTCTCAAATCACAAAACTATTTTCCTTTAAAAGCTTATATTTTTAGTTTTTACTTTTGATAACAGTATGTGGTAAAGATCGAGGTTCCTTTTTTTCCATACAGAGATCAGTTATTCCAGCATCATTTGCTGAAAATACTTTGCTTTTGCTCATTGGATCACTGCCTTTGTCAAAAGTCAGATGACAAGACGTGAACATTTCTGGAGTCTCTTTTATTCCGTTGTGGGAATGTATCCTACGTTAGGCCAGCACCATCTTGATTACAACACATTACAATAAGTTTCAAATTCTCCAACATTGTTCTGGTTTATGATTGCTTTGGCTAGTCTAAGGTCTTTGCTACTACTACAAAATCCTGAGAAAATGACTCTAGTACCTAACATTCAAGTACTACCTAGGTAATATGTGGACAATTAGAGTGCCCATTTCTCAGTATTGGTTGGATGATTAAAATGTAACTCATGCAAAGTTTTAAGTATAGAATAAGCTCCCGGTATTCACATAAGCTTTTAGTATATTATTGTACTTATATGGCTAACTCAATAAGAAAGAAAGAAAAATCTAATGATGTTTTGCAGGGGCTACAATATTCAATTTTCAGGGTGCTCTATGATTTTATTAGGTAACTGATCCTCAGAGGGTTTAACTGGATTTAAAATGTAAAGTAGAACGCATGTAGATCCTGTGCGCTTCTTACTCAAATCCTATGTTTAGTTCTTTCATTAGGTTGATGTCATTTTTGAGCATAGCAACTGTCAGTGACTTTATGCCTCAATTTCCCAGGCTGCTTCTTGGAATTAACTTCCATTACTTTACGGTATGCGACGACACTTCCAAAATCTGTAATGCCTTTCTGTTATTCTGAAATTCATAATATACCTTCTAGAAGCACTCTAGTAAAAACCGGGGAAATTTTTTTATAGAATAGTCAATGAAATACATTAATTCACAATCAGCAAAACATTGTTATAAGCTGACATGGCTAGTAATATAAAATAGCTTTTATTTCATTTTTTAAAAAATTGTATCTGAATCTGTCTTATATGGTTTGGGATAGATAGTAGCATAATCATATGCCTACCTAATTTCAGAGCTTTTTAGAAGGCTTGGCTGTGCTTAAACGAAGACTACTTTCTTATTGTTAGAATTCACCACTTAGAGTTTAGATGGAGGTGCAGAGCGAAATTTGCACAGCACTTGTGGAGAAATTTCTCTTTTTCCCTCTATTTGGTATTTGATAAACCTAGAAACAATGAACAGCTCTAGGCAAGTACTGTGAATGCATATATGTAAATGTAAGTATGTATATAATTACAGATATTGATATTAGATGATTCAGACATATGAATCTATAAATGGTCACAGTGAATTCATGCCCTTCATAATAGTGGCAATTTGAACTTTTTAGGTCTTCATATATATCATAGTCCTGTTATGACATTTTGTCCACCAAATATAATTCATTTGCTTGTGCTAAACAGTCAGGCAAGCATGTAAAAATAACTTGCCAATTTAATTTTTATGTTCATAAAAAACATTTGACTGCCACAATTTGATCGTTTGGTTTAGAGTTAGGAAATCCCCCAAAAATTCTAATAAAGATTTTATTATATATTCTTTAACTGCATACTTTCCATAATTAATTTAAGTTACTGATATATATTATTTATCTGATTGTTGGATACTATTTGAAACAGACAGCACTATTTTTAATAAAACATATTATTCCTTAATGGGCACTACAGTTAATTTTATCAAGATTGACAAAGCATACAGTTGAGCCCTGTTTAATTCAAGGTCTTAATCATGTCAAAACTTGAAGGATTTAGCAACACTACAAATTTTCAACCAGTTTTTATGTACCTTTTGATAATACATGTATGTACATATAAACATATAATATGGAGGGCATCTATTGTTTTAGGTCACAAAATTAGCTGCACAAGAAATGAAAATATTCTTCTTGTAAAACTTAATTTACATGTTTGGCTTCCATTGTACTGAATTTCAGGAACTAAGTCCCAGTCTGTCTAGCTCCCCGGGGTTGTACCATTTCACCAAGGTGCTCACACTGTGTCAAAGCATTTGGGGTGCTATCTGGTCATTGGTAGCTTCAGGATCCAAGCTGGCTTTTGCCAAAAGGTTCTCATTCTCTTCTCTTTTTAGTCTCTATTCACCACATGTATGTCACACCTCCTCTCTCCCTTGGGAATCTTTTGGTTTCTGGTCCTCAGTTATCCTGTGACATCACTACTCTCCTCAAACCTCTAACCACTAAAGAATAAAGGTCTGACAACCCAGGGCCTGGCCTTGTGTAGCAGAACAGTCACCCATTCAAGACCAGTTCTGCTGAGTTCCCTCCAAATCTTTTCTATCCTGTGAATCAAAAAAGTAGTTCTCTAATTGATTGGAAAAAAAACAACAAATTCTCGCTGATTTTGGTTTTCTTCTGATGTTTTTGTTTATGTGCTGAATCATTCTCAACACATTAAATGGCTAGAATTTTTAAACTAAAAGTGCTGATAAGATTAGGAAATGGGAAAGATCTTTATCAGCTTCTCTGCTTTATCATCCGCGGTTGGTGGCAAAGGGTGCAGCTCAGTGAATGGGAATTGGAGAGGAGCAAAGAAATGGGACAGGAGAGAAAATTGCTTTAATATTTCAAAATACTACTCTACCACACACTGATTTCTGTAATTCTCTTAAGAAATTTCTTACAAATCTTATAAGAAAACACAATTGTGTGTTTAGAGATGATACAACTGAGACTTACTGCTGCCGGCTGACTTTCCTGAGCCCGGTCCAGCCAGCTGTCTCCCTTCACGGCGTCCTCGCAGAGGGATCCTCTGAGCCAGTTCGCAGCTCTGCTCTATGGCTACAGTGGCAACGGATCTCTGGATATAATGGGGAAAAAATCACATTAAATAATTAATAAAGATAAGAATAGAAAAACTCAAGAGCCCTGAATCCTTAATATATTTTAATGTTCTAATTCCAAATGTCAAACATGGTAGAAATATGGTACAAAAAGTGTACACTATTAATATGGATATTTTACTGTTCAATATATGAGTAGTAACTCTAACCTCATATCCTCAGAAACAAACTAAATCATATCAGTTACATGATAAAGTAACTGTGTTTTTCCCTCCCACTTTATAAGACCACTGAGTTGCATTTCCATTTATATCAGATTTATAATCTCTTTTAGAACTTTAATCCATTTTTATTAAGTTTTTATCTGACTCCTGTTTGAATGGTTCAATCATATCTAAACTTAAAGAATTATGTTTTATGTTATGGATAGTCACAAGTGGAAATAGTAGTGGTCACAGATACACTGTTCAAGGCGGTGTAGATTTGGAGGTGTATCTGGGGAAATTAATTAAAAATATACATTTTAACATTCGGCTTTTGAAACCGATACTATGTCTAAGTATAAGGATTGTGAATAAAAACATTATGAGTGATTATCTTCTTTGTAAGTTTTCAAACATTCTGTGAAAATGTGTGGTTTTGTTTTAAAAACAACAACAACAAAATGCAGAGATTTCTTTAAAAGATTTATATTCAAAACCTGACACACATACCGCCCCTGCCCCCACCAGGGATTTTGTGAGGATGTCCAAGAGATCCATAGAGATGACGCTTTCAAAGTTGGTTTTATAAGTGGAAAATGAAGAAAAGAAAAAAACAAAAACATTTGAATCTGTCCGGATCACTTTTTTTCTAAATGCTGGCTCGAGTCCTTCAATATCAGTTTCACCTTCACCACTGAGAGCTGATCAAGCTGTTTAACGTGGTTCTCCCTGCAAAGAGCTCTGGATCTGTGGCCTCAGAGTGAACTCATTGCCCTGGGTGATGGGGACCGTGAGCCTGAGGAGGCTGTGGTCCTGATTCCCACGGTCAAGGGGAGCACAGGCCACTGCAGCCCCAGAGCTGTGCGCTTATCCAGAAAGACCTCTTCGGGGCCCAGCCTCTTCTCTCTCACCCCAGCCTTTCTCCCACTGTATTCTACTTTCTGTATTCTACCTTCTTTGGCTTTTTCCTCTTGTTTCATAGTTAGATAATTTTGAAACTTTCTCCCAGCTACCTTTTTTTTTTTTTCAGACACAGCTATTTTAAAGGCTTCTTTTCTCAAATTGTATGTAGTCAACTTTGAATCACATTTCTACTTGTGTATCACCCCTTGTGTAATTTTTCTTTCTCAGACTAATGTCATTTATTCTATGGACATTTTCCTCGACCAGTAGAAGTCGGTTGAAGGAGGAAATTTCCTCATTTTAATTAATTTCTAGAAATGTAAAGAATACTCAGAAAATTTTCAAGCTTACAGAATGTTTACTGTGCTAGCTTGGCAGTTCACAATATTTATGGTTTTCATTAAAACTCTCCATCTTCACAAGATAGAAATTCTTTCTTGAGGAACACTTCCATGCTGTTTGTAGAAATTTATTTATTACAACGCCATCATTAATATTGAAAATGTATAAAAGATTTAAACAAGCAAATGTATGGCCTACTTTCCATGTGCACCGTGAAGGGAAACAACATAAGAAACTGAGTAAGTCATACAAATGAGAGTAAATAACTGACGCCAACAAATAGTTTCATAAAAAGCCAAAAAATAAAGAAGGCAATCACAAATCATTTTAAACCTCATTTCGGCTTTTATTTTTAAATGTCAACGATTTTTATTTATTCCCACCTGCTTTGTTTTCCGTTTACTAATGTTATCTTTTAGGCCATCACAGTATTTTGTTGTTGTTGTTACTATTAAGACTCTTGCTTTTCCCTTAGGCTTGAATCACCCACCAGGTCCTTGATCATGGAAGCTCCCCGAGGGGTCCAGGTGCACGCTGCTGCAGGCGACTTCAAGGCCACCTGCAGGAAGGAGCTCCATTTGCAGTCTACGGAGGGGGAGGTGAGTTCCCAGGGGGAGGAGCTCTTTACTGGTGAGGGTCCGGCTCCCCAGGTGCGCGCATATAGCTCCAGGTGAGCACAGAGAACTGTTTCATAAAGTAGCTTAAATGATGAACATATTACTACTTCTTCTTGATTATGAAATTTGGTCAAATGAATGTTACTTTCTTAAGTCAAAGCTCTATTTTCTACTGGAAGATATTCATTCATACATCAATCATGAGTGGGGCCTCTCAATTCCTGTAGTTTCAATATTGGCAGGTCAACATAATAAATAGCAAGATAATCATGAATAAATTAATCTTTGTTTTTTGTTCATTCTATTTTGGTCTTCAAATCATTCTTGCAACAAAATACCTTGGATGCTTGTTTCTGTAAGAATAGTGCCTATATTTTTTTAAAAGGAAAAAGTTTATTTTATCATTTAGCCCTATTGTTCTTTTTTGAACGAGGAGATACTCGTTGATAGTGTTCTTCCATCCACTTTATTTCTCCCCAGACCCCCTTTAAGTCTGGTGTCATTCCTTGAACGATCATCCTCTTTCTCACCACCTGCTCTGAAGAACCTGGGTCTTCCGTCTTCCACTCTCACTCTAACACAGTAGACACACTTGTCTCCTGCAGCTCACTGCTGTGTGCACTGGGACTATTGTGTCTGTGGGGTCACATTTTCGTTGATTCTGCAAATGATGCAGCAGATATCTCCACATATTACTTTCTGCATGTTCTCTGTGGCCTTGTTCTAGAACTCTGAAGAAATGCTAAGACTTTCCAGGGTTTTCCCCTCCAGATCCCTTCGCCTCTCCTGCCTACTTCCTATTTCTTTGTCTCCTCTTGCCTCACTCTGCTTATTTATGCAGATCTAATTCCCAGGTTTCTCTTCAGTGTCTTATCTCATATTTAATCCCTACATTGAGCTTTTAATGTTAGTAATTATGTTGTTCATTTCTAGGATTCTCTTCTGTTGTTTTTCCAAATCTGTCTGGACATCTTCATAGTTCCTCTTTTGTTTGCTTGTTTGTCTTGAACTCTAGCTTAATTATTTCAAAGCCTTATACATAATACATATTCTATTCTGTATATTTCTGCTGCAATTCCCAAAGTCCTTAAAGGTCTAAATCTGTTGTATTGCTGTTTATACCAATTAATTCCCTTAGTATTTTCTTCCTTTGTGTGCTTATTTATTTTTTATTATGAGCTTACAAAGTTTAAATCAAGAAGAAAAAGAACAGAAGGCTAATTTAAGAGCCGCCCCGGAGCAGTTTATACCTCTCAGATGTAAGAGGAGAGCATACATTAATAGAATCAAAGGGAGACATTCTTTTTTACTGTAATGCCATTATCTCAGTTGTTGATTCGAGATAAATGTTAATTATATATTTTGCTTCATTTTTATAAGCAAATGCATTGTCAGGACCATATTAACATCTTATTACAATTTATATGATGTAGAAATATGCTTTATAATATTTAAAAAGTATATCCATATTACCTTTTAGGGTTTCTTTCCCATACTGTTACAGACTGCAATAGTTTGTTTTCCACAGCAAGATGGAAATCTTTCTAAGTGTCTTACATTCTTTTTAAAGGTTTGCTTTTATCATGCTAATCAGTTTATTCAAATTATTCATAGAGAATCATCCCATAAGAAATATTGGTGGTTATTCACGTTTGTTCTGCTATTACTTACACACCACTTTATCCATGTTCTTCTATGCAAAATATCAGCAGATTCCTTGGATTCACTTACACGTGAGCATTTAATTGTGAATTGAGTATTATGGTGTAAGTAAGTCATATCCAGATGTGCTCAGCTGTGGTCATTTTTATATTAATAAAACAAAGATGTAGAAAACAGCACTTTATATTAGAATACATAACATGTAATTTTTCTGCAAAGAAATGTGAGATAATATAAAATCTTTCTTTCAGCTTCATTGACTATGCCACAGAAAGGCAGACGGATCGTTTTCTAAACAACGTAGAAACATGTCAAGTCTACCTTTCGATAGTTTTTAAAGTAGTTAAAGTCAGAACAGGCACTGCATGGAGGTAAGCAAAATAATGGCCAAAATGTGTCAGGATGAAACTGCACAAAAAATTCTGCGCTGCAGAAGATGCAGCTGTTCCTGACACAGCGTTGCAAGGAATTTCAAATTCAGCTCTGAAGACAACATGAATCAAAACTGTGGACACAAAGTGCTACCATAGTATATTCAAAGCAGTAATGCAATTACATGTCACAAGATCACAGAGGAAGAAGAAAGCAATTGTTATTTTGCAAATTGATTAAGATTTTTGCTGCAGTGACAAGTCTGATTTAACAGGTACGAAAGGGATCAATGAATGCTTAGTGGAGAGAAGACAATGGGCCATGAGTTAAAACCTCAGAGGTGTGATTTTGAGTACCAGGAAGAGTTTCAACAAATGGATTACATGGTTTATAGGACAATATAAAATAGAAATATCAATTTTAGAAGTTGGAAAGTGAGCAGTATTATGTGGTAACTGCCTGAACAGACAGGAAGAGATATGAGCAAGCCCGTCCGTGGTGCAGGAGCCCAGGGAAGCTGAGCAGTGTTGGGTTGGAAAGAATCAATATCTGTGGCCCCTTTTTACTTCATGACTTATTTTCTATCTCAAACAAGAAAATACAGAGTTCTTTTTTTTACAGGCCCGGTTCATTATAATTTATCTGTTAATAAAATCTACCTCCCTTACGTGAGTGAGGCGACAGTTTGGATATCGAAAGTGTATGGAATTAAGTGTTGTCGAATAGTAAATGTTGTCGAGAGCAGCCGCTAAATGGGTAGGGAAGCCGGAGGGCAGCTCTGTAGCTAAGCTGATGTGAGCCACACACCACAGGTTCAAGGCCGACACCACTGCTGAGGGCTCCACAGCTGCGCTTCCTTTATAAAGCGACTACTCTTGCCTGGCCCGCTTGGCTCAGCGGTTAGAGTGTTGGCCTGTGCACCAGTGAGTTGAGGGTTTGATTCTGGCCAAGGGCACGTACCTCAGTTGCAGTTAGGTCCCCTGGTCAGAGTTGTCATGAGGCAACTAATCCATGTATCTCTCTCACATTGATCTCTCTCTCTCTCTCTCTCTCTCTCTCTCTCTCTCTCTCCCTCTCTCTCTCTCTCTCTCCCTCTCTCCCTCCCTCCCTCCCACTCTATCTAAAGATAAATGGAAAAATATCCTTGGGTGAGGATTTAAAAAAAATAAAATAAAAACAGCTACCGTCTGCATTCATTGCCTCAGGCTATATCAATGGAAAGAGAGTTAGTTCCAAACTATAAAACCAATGATGTGCCCGGCCGGTGTGGCTCAGTGGTTGAACATACACCCCTGCAGCAGGAAGTCACTGGTTTGATTCCCAGTCAGGACACATGCGCAGGTTGTAGGCCAAATCCCCAGTGCGGGACACGCAGGAGGCAACCATTTGATGTTCTCTCTCATTGATGTTTTTGTCTCTCTCTCCCTCTCCCTTCCTCTCTCTCTAAAATTAATAAAGAAAAAAAAAAATGATGCGGCTTGGAGCCTCTGCAAATCACCAGGGCTAACCAGTAACATTTACTATTTCTGTGCTTACAAATAAATGAACCATTCACAATATCCTATAGTCATTTGATCGATCCCACATGACCTCCTTGTGCACATGTTCCACTGTGTATTGTCTATGTCTCAAGCTTTCTTGGGCAAAACACCAGCACCTATCATTTCTTTGGAGAACTTACCTCCAAATATGCAGACCTAACCCCACAGTCCCAGGGCTTGCCCTTGTAATCCTTCTGAAGTTTCAGAATGTCTGCTCTGTGCAAGCATACTAGCTCCTAAAAAAAGCGAGGAGAGGGGGATAAGCTCTGCAAGCCCAGATCCTCCCTCAAACTCACCAGTGAGAGGAGCCTTCCCTCCTCCCCTGTGGAGAGAGGAGCCCAGAGTGTGCAACAGTGTGTTACCGTCATTGATGTCCCTCAACGTGGAAACAGAGCCAGAAGAAATGAGGCCCAGTGTCTATACCGAAAGATATATTGTTATTTCTTTTGCTGGTTTTGTGCACTTCTAAGTCTTACATCAGTAAAACAAATCTTCTTAAAATAATTGAAACAGAAGGCTTTCTTTCTCTCTGCCACCTCTCACTTAACGCAGGAGTAATGATGATTTCTTAACTCCAAATACTGTTAGTAAACATAATCATTTACTTATTTTATAATCTATTCATTTGTTCAACAACTGTTTGTATTATGTAGACACTGTATGTGCAGGATCAAAACTGTGGAATTATAGTCTGGTCGGTGTGGCTCAGTGGTTGAGCATTGACCCATGCACCAAGAGGTCGCCAGTTCGATTCCCGGTCAGGACACATGCCCAGGTTGTGGGCCCGATCCCCAGTGGGGGGCATGCAGGAGGCAGCCAATCAATGTTCTCTCTCATCAGTGTTTCTGTCCCTCTCTTCCTCTCATTTCCTCTCTCTCTAAAATCAATAAAGAAAAAAAAAATGTCTTTAACTGTGAAATTATAAAAATACTCAGGCGTGATTCTACCTTCAAGGACATAATTTAATGGGGAAAGTAAGATATAAATATGACTATAAAATAACATATTAAATATCAGCAAAATAAGATATTAATAACAAAATGCTACAGGAGCACCGAGTGAAAAGAGTCCTTCCATCTTGGAGCATCAGGGAAGGGTTTATGGAGGATAAAGCAGACGAACAGGACTTAGGTGGAGGGTGGCATTTGTACCAGGAGTGGAGAGACATGTCCAAGGTGAAAGGAGATTATTATTTCACAGAACACTTGCTTCCACAACTCTCTATGAACTGTTCTGTAACTGTGAACAAAGACAAACTCTGCCTTCATAGGTCTTACTTTTAAGTAAGAAAAGCACAGTAAATGAATGAAGACAATAAATGTTAAGAAGGAATGGTTACTATAAAGTAAAACTCTCAGGAGAAAATAAATGGACTCGTGTTGTTTTAGCAAGGTGGCCAGGAGAGTCCTTTCTGAGAGGGTGACCATGGAGCAGACATTTGAACAAACATGTTCACATCCCAATTAATCTAAAATAACATGACCATAGTCTATGAATCCTTTTTCTGGCTCATTTGCATAGACAATCAGTTACTGTGTTTCAACATTTTAAAAATATGAAAGATGTTAACAATGGTAATCTCCATCCCTGTTCTCGGACAACCTAGTTAGCTATCCCCTTGTCTATGTCTGCAGAAAATATTTCAAGCTAAAGAATTAGAGAATAAAAATGCCCTGAGCTCAGAGTTCTTTTGGTGTATTTGAGAAAACGTAAGAGATGGAACACGAAGACTTACAGGAAATGGTGTTAGAGACAGACCAGATCAGAGGGGGCTTGTGGGTCATGGGAAGGAGTCAGGAGTCGCGTGAAGTGTAGTGGAGGACAGCGGGGGATGTGAGCACAGGGGGCACGTGATATGATTTGCATTTCTTAAAAGCTGCTCTCTAACAATATGTAACACAGACTATAAGAGAACAAGACTGGCAGCTGGGTGGGCCAGTCAGGCAGCTATTTCAAGAGTCTTAATAAGAAATGAGTAAAACTTGGATGAGGACAAATATGTAGAAAATGATATATTCTCTGATTCTCCTGTTAATTTAAAGATGTCTTTAGGCAGTAATTTACTACATAACAATAGGATGAAGGAATAGCTAAGGAGAGTTTCTTCTTTGCTCATTCAAGTTCATGATTCACTTTTTCTTTTTCTGGAACTTTCCTCATGCATATCACAACCATGTGAGCACTGTCCCTGAAAGTGTTAAGTCCGTGATTTGGAAGAAGTGAAGTAATCTTGCAGGTTAGAAGATACAGCAAAGTAGGTATTGAGTGCAAGTAATGTTCCATGTAGACATCAAACTTGATTATAGCTAATAATTATCTATTGTTAATCCTGCAGATTATCTGCTTGGAATATCCTTTAGACAGTCTGCCAAAATTATATCACGAGTATTTTTTAAAAACTAGGTCAGAGTCAGTTTTTAAGTTAATTTCACATCCCTCAGTAATGTAATCTCCATGAAGACCCTCCCCGCCCCCCACTGCGCATGCACACTGGTACAGGCGAATGGAAGCTCCATTTGGGGGTCCATGAAATTCTTTGAAATTCTTCGTATATGCTTTAAACTAGGCCTGATTAGGAAGTTAAATCGAGAGACTCTGTCAAAATCATTAACTCTCTGTGGTGCCTGAATAACTGGGTTGGCCTCCTAAGCAGACTGTACACTGCTGCATTTTCAGATGGAGGACTGGCCGCCAGGATGCACCACGTCCCAGCGGAGAAGAGAGCTGTAGAGCTTCTGGGCTCCACCGGAGGGATGTAATTTGTTTGTTCAGCAAAGCATGCACTGAACCAAGAGAAGTGTTGGTGGTGTGGTCTTTCTCATTAGGCCATGTTGTAGAGCTCGGAGGAACGGAGAATGCTAAAATGAATTAAAATGCAATTTCTCCCCCTAGATATTTTTGAACGCGGATACCATCCGGCTGGGAAGTCTGCCGACCGGCTCCTTCTCGTCGTCACCCAGCTCTTCGCACGCCCGCCAGACAGTGTACGAACTGTGCGTCTGCCCCAACGGCAAACTGTACCTTTCTCCGGCAGGGGTAGGTTCCACCTGTCAGTCCAGCAGCAACATCTGCTTGTGGAGCTGAAGGGACTGATTTCTCCTCACACCAGAATAGCCTTTTGTTCCTGTCTGTCTGCTTCACAGTTCTGCTCGGTTTCCCTTGTGATCAGTCCAGAGCTTCTTCAAATGGTCCCCAGGGCCACTTCCTCCACTAAGCAGGGATCGCCTCCACCTCCTCGTGTGATTCACTGTACTGCTCCACAGAGTGGCCGCACAGTGCGAAACTCATCTTCGGCAGGAAAACTGGATCACAACGTTTGCTCAAAAGGGAGAGTAACATAGGTGCCTTTGCTACATGAAGTGAAGCACACAGTTTTAGATTTTTGCAGGACCTGGATATGAACTGCACATATATCCATTACATAGATGAAATTCCCAGTGTCCAATGGCAAGATGAAACGGTTAACCCTGTAAGAAAACTCATCCTACAGTCTGAAAGCACAATTTTCCATTCATCTTTTTGGATGTAAACTTTTTTTCCCTGAATTTTAAAATTTTAAAGCATTATGTAATGCTTGCTTTACTAAAAATTCAATTCGATACATGGTTTTTAGCAAAACAAGACAGAATCCCACCCTTAGTTTTGTTTCTTTAAATTCAGTGTGTTGTTACTCTTTGTCTACTATGTCTAGAATTTTGTACATTAGGTAATTTTGAAAGCATTCAGCAATATAATCTTTACAGAATTAACAAAATGCTATCATACTGTCATTTATCAGATCTGAATGGCCTTATGTAGTATTTACTTGGCTATTGCATGTAACGCATTTACTTTTAGCAAAACATCCATTTTATTGCAATACAAGGCAGGACTAAGAGGGGCGTACAGGGGGTGTGTATCCGCGTGCGATCTGTTACACTGAGGTTCTAATGGTACAATTTCTGTTTACTCCATTCACTTTATACTTGGCGCTGGCTGATAAATTCAATCATCCTCTAAATAAATACATACTAATGTGATGCATAGTGCTGAGAATGGATTCACCTTCCATTGGAATATCATCTTCAAAATCACATCTATGTACTTTTTACTAGAGATTAAAATTTAAGGACAGTAGAAATTAAATTCAAAATTCCTGCTCAAACAGTAAAAAAATACAAATGTTAACAAACATTGAAAATGTGTTTACATCATTATGTTCATATTTTAAAGGATTTATTTGCTTTCATCTCTTAATGTTTAGTTACTTTATCAGACTGTTAAACTACCCTACTACCAGAAATCATAGTTCCTTTCATTCTCCACTGCTTATTTCTGTAAATTAGCTGCTAAAAAATACCTCCAGAATACTGGAGATTCACTTACTACAACACCCCTTAACTCAAATTTTTGAAATTTACAGAATCCAAGAATGTAAAATGGCATTAAACATTTTCTGTTATGGGGAAATGACTTGATTACTGTAAGGTAAGTCCTTAATTTTCACACGTCAATCAATCTTCCCCGGCCCTCCCACGCACACCATTTTCGGTGCGTGGACGCTTCCCTCTGGGGTCCGTGACTGTAGAAACTGTGGAGGTCAGTCCTCCACAGCACAGAGTGAAGTGGAAGGTTGGAACTTCTTGAAGCTACTTGGGAAGTGGAAGTAGGAAAACTGGGTAATGGAAGCAACAAAGTGAACCATTTAGCCAGAATTACCTTGTTTGGATAATCCATCACATGGAACAATTGACCTTGACCAGAATCAAACCTGCGACTCTTTGGTCCATGAGCCAACTCTCTAACTGCTGAGCCAAACCAGCCAGGGCTACTTTTAAAGTAGAACTTAACTTGTGTTTGGGGCATATTATATAAAACTTTACATCAATATTGGACTAAGAATTGCAATTGCTTTAAAGGCGTATCATAGCACAGGAGTTCAATTTATTTAAGTTAAAACACTAGAATTTAACATGATAAATTCCCACATTGTTTTTTGCAAAATACTATAACACAGAGTATAACACAAGAAATTTTGAAAAATTATGGATACTAATCACTGTTAGGAACTTTTAAGGAAAACACTATATATTAATCTGAATCAAATTTAAGTTTAAAACATCTCTAAATTAAAACAATTAAAAAGTTTCTTAATCAAATGGGAACTTTCTTGATTAGTAATTAGCTCTGTTTCTAATCTAGCTCTGTCTTCTACTAATCAGGGAGCTGATGTAGGCAGTCTGGGAATATGGCCAAGCTTCAGTTTATTCAACTTTGCAACAAGAGTGTTGAATCAAATGGTCTCTTGAGATTCCTTCCACCTCTAACATGTTCTGATTCCAGGAGCAAACATTACAGAGGGTGAAAGGGCCACTGGAAGTTTAAACAATGTGTCATACGAGGAGAAAAGATGAAAAGAGGGAGGAGCCAAAAGCGTGTAAAACCAAATCTAGTGAGGGGCTATCCAATTATGAATTCCAATATATTCTGAAACGTAACAGAAACACAAATAAACATACAAGTTAAGAGACTGAGATTCTGTCTGGAAGATGTGAAAATATCTGTTAAATTTAGCAGAAAAAGGAATGTGGTGCAGATAGCTTTCCTATCCAACACCAAATAATCGGTTTAAATTACTTTTAGATTCCTTAGCATCTAAGTGTAGGCTCAGCCTCAGAGTTCGAGCTTCTAACACAGAAGATTGCTGCCCAAAGCCCTTAATTTTCTTATAAAAAGGTTTGATTGTTTCTTAATACAGCGTTCCCTTCATTGCAGACTACCCAAGGAGGTTTATGATCTGTTGTCTGCTACCATGTTTACGTGACAACATAGATAAATAGAGTGCAGTTTATTTTGTTGCAGATTTCATCTTTCCTAACTCAAACTCAGAAAAAAATGATGTTCTAAGTATGGTACATCAACCCTAGATCTTGCATTCGGTTTAGTTGGAGAAGACAGGAGTGAAGAGGGAGGGAGGCAGTCCGCAGAACAGGAGGCAGGAGGAAGGGAGCCAGCCCCTCCCTGCGTTTACACCCTTACCAGGAACGAGTCAACCGAGAGGTCATGGAGTTCAGTTGCTGGGGTTAAGAGAGAAGCAACGATGACAGACACTTTTTTCTTTCTGAATATTTCAGTAAGATACTTCCAAAAAACACACTTCAAAATGACATCTTTCTTTTGCTCGGTATCACTAAAATTTCTACCCTGTACTTCTTTGTCCTATTTTTCCCTTAATTTTATGAACCATAAGCTTTATAATCTGGTGCAAAATTATTTATCAAAGGATTTAAAATAATGATTCAAATTTCACATTGACCAGAATGTGAATTTTGATTTGCATCAAAATTCAAATTTTACATTAACTAGAACATCTTAGAGTTCAGCACCCCAAGTCTCTGAAAATAGAGCCAGGATACCGATTCGGGTTCTGCCCCTACCCACTCATGTGACCTAAAGAAATATAATTATTTTAGCAAGAGCTTACTTATCTGTGAGCGGGTATGCCAAACTAGAAGTTTTTTGGTTCTTTTCATCTCTAAATTTCATTGGTTCACTTAAAACTAAGCAATCCTGAGTTCAGTAGCCCAATTTGAACTACTTACTGTTATTAATCTCCTTCTATACCTTCCTTAACATGTTGCTTTTATTTTCTTAAATGTTTTTATTGATTGTTTTAGAGAGAAAGGAAGGGAGAGGGAGATAGAAACATCGATGTGAGAGAGAAACATTGATTGGCCGCCTTCTGCACGCCCCCTTGAGAATCAAGCCTGATACCTGACCGGGAATCAAACCAGGACCTCTCAGTCCATGGATGATGCTCATCCCACTGAGCCACACCGGCTGGGCTGACATTTTGCTTTTAAATGTTGCCATGCACATATTTCGAGCAGCCTACTTCCTACGCCTTCTTCTGTACTCCCTGTCTTCCTCCTACCATTTAAATATTAATGTCCCTTTCAGAAAAGAATCCTTTGTTGACAGGTTTTAGTAAGTTAGATGACATTAAAAAGGGAAAGAATGTATTTGGGTCTTACTAAAAATGACTCTTTAGGAAATTAATAGAAATATTTACCAAATGTCAATACTCTGATTATCATTCTATTATTATTTAGTCCATCAAACTAAAATGCATTGTTTGTTTCTTCAAGAAAAGGTAATTTGATCACAAAGGTCAGTTGCTACATTTTTTTAATAACGTTATGCCATTCAAAATTCTTACGTATTCTAGCATCTGAATTATTCAATTGGATAGTGCCTCATTTTATAAAATTGGCATTTGGTACAATAAAACTCCTAATGGATTGTACCATTGCAAAAATTATATCTCTGTATGGGGCAGCAATAGGTGAAGGGCTGGAGAGTGTTTAATGAATTTAAATGGCTAACTTTTATAGCAGATCATGTCAATATCATAATATTGAATTATTGTATTTGAAGATACTTAATGGCCAAATTCTCTCCACAGTCATCAAAGCAAAACCCACATCTGAGTTTCATGTTAGTGTGGTCTTCTCACCTTCTTCTTTCAGTAGCTTTGGTCTAATTAGAACTGATCATGTGACCATATTTAAAGATACTTGGAGTAATATTTTCCTTATGCATTCTTGTATATTACAGTAATGAATATTGCAAAATATCATTATCATAAAGTAAAAGCCTATTGTATTTTTATTCTTTTAAAGCAGTCATAAACTCATGAATGTCCTCATTGCACACTGTTATTCATTTTGTTTTACACTGCAGTTCATTAGTTGTTTAAATGTCAAAGACCAAAGACTGGGATTTCTATTGTATTTAAATCGAAAACACTGCTGCTTCTACTAATGTATTCAAATGAATAGGAGGGCTTATAATTATAACATGAGGTAGTAAACATCCTCCTTGCCTGATTCTGAGCTGTAGATGATTAATTAATGTTTTTGCTTCAGAAGGAAATCTTTCTCAGTGTAGTCCACTTACTTTTTATACATGCATAATAAAAGTCTTGATATTCACAAAAGCAGTATGTAAAGACTATATTCCCAAATGAGCCCAGGATGGATTTACTCAGCTGAGTTTACACTTTCATTGCTTGCTAAAAATTCTTTGGAGAATATAATTAATTTGAAATACTTTTAGAACCACAGGGCTATTTTTTATGGGTTGATTGAAGCAGTTCCAATCTTTGAGGAAGTCAATGAAAAAAAAAATAAAAGGAAATGAGGTATAATGAACTGTGATTCTTTTGGTTTTTGCAATCTTAAAATCTCATGTGTTTGAATATTTATAAATTAAAGCCAAACAGGGTTAATGATGTGCAAGGACATTCACTAACAATGGAGATGTGTAATTTTGTGTTTTCACCGTCCTGTTATGTATACAGTTCTTTAAACCAGGTCCACTACTCATTCGTTTTGTTTTGTAATTTCATGTAAATGTTTTCTTGTATATATATGACAAATGGAACTATTTTCTTACACATACTATGCAATATGTTTGTTAAATTGCAATATTACCAAAATTACAAAAGCTGTGCTTTTGTACTTGATCTTGCTTTATGTAAAATCTATCTTTTTCTATTTAAACGGACTATCAGTTCCATAAATTGTAGATAACATATCTATTCAAAAATCAGTCTATTGTATCTTTTGTTTAGTTTGGGGTGGA